TCCCCTGTCTGCTGCTCCCCAATCTGCTGCTCCCCTGTCTGCTGCTCCCCAATCTGCTGCTCCCCTGTCTGCTGCTCCCCTGTCTCCTGCCCCCCACTCTGCTGTACTCCATCCATACTGCTCTCGTCCTGCAGCTGCTCAGTCTCAAGGCGCTGCCCGTCGGTGATCTCCACAGACGGTGGCACCTCCATCCCCCCCTCACCAACGGGCGGCGCCGTGGAAGACGAAGAAGAGGGCGGAGCAGGTGCAGGAGGGATGGAGGGTGGAAGGGGAGATGGAATAACAGGAGGAGGAGGGGAAGCCAAGGGGGGTGAGGAGGAAGAAGGCGGGGCAGGGGGAATCACACGAGGGTAGACTGAAGGCGGAGGTGGGGTGGGGACCGAGGTAGGGACATAGGGCATAGCAGGAGGTGCGACCACCTCCTCCTCCTCCTCCGCCTCCTCGAGAGTGATCGGGAGGAGTGAGGGAAGGGGCTCATAGGGCATCGAACGCCCCCCATGCTCCTGCTGATGCCAAGCCTTCCATCCTGCTAGGGACATGGTCTCATAGAACACAGCTTCCACAGTGGTGATGAGGCGGTTGGACTCCAAGTCCAGCACGGTCCAGCCCTTGCTCGCAGCTGACACACCCAAGTGCAACCCCCAGCGAGCCTTAGGCGACAGCTTCCCCCCACGCTGCGACTGTGGTACCATGTACTGCAGCATGCAGCCCCAAACACGCACCATACTGACATCAGGTTTGCGTCGGAAGGCGAGCTCGTACGGCGTCACACCAGAGGGTAGTGAGGCGTGCTCCACGCAGTTGCGCACCCAGACGGCCTGAGCCAACGCCAGGTGCCACCAGTGATGCTGCACACCCATGTGCAGCAACATCGTCCGCACCGCCTCCACAATGCTGCGCATCTCCCTCTCGGCCATCCCGTTCTGCTCCGGCGTGTACGGGCATGTGAGGTCATGGATGATGCCTTTACCGTCGAGGAAGAGCGTGAAGTCGTGCCCCAGGAACTCGCCACCCCGATCAGTGCGCAGCGCCTGCACCGTGGTCTTGCACTGTCGCTCTGCCATCGGGAGCCACTTCTGGAACGCCGCCAGCGCATCACTCTTCTGGGCCAAAGGGTAGGCCCAGACATATCGCGTCTTGCGATCCTTCAGCACCAAGAAGTAGCGGCTGCCGTCCTTAGCTGCTTCACGGAAAGGGCCACACAGGTCAGCATGCACCACCCCGAGCAACTCATCCTCCTCCTCTCCCACAGAAGGAAAGGTATGACGAGTGATCTTTCCCCCAACACAGGAGACACAAGGTATGCCTGACTTGCCCCCCTTCTCCAAATCCAAGCCCTTCACTGACCCGTGAGCCGCTGTGCGCTAGATGGCATCAATACCAACGTGTGCCATACGCGCATGCCACAGGTCCCCCTTAGACCGTACGCCCGTCGCCAAGGTACGAAGTGCCACCGTTTCGCCTTCCTGCTGCTGCGTCGAACACGGCTGGAAGTTCGTGTAGAGAACACGCCCCTTGAACTCCGCACGACCAAGGAGCGATCCATCTGGTGCCCGCAGCAAAGTCACATCCCCGGCATCCAGCAGCTGCACACCACTATCACGCAGCTGCCCAGCAGAGAGAAGACTCGCCTGCACTCCTGGTATGTACAGGACGTCCGGCACCAAGACACGCCTGCCCCCCTCTCCAAGAAGAGCGACTGTGCCCCGCCCCTGCACCTCCTGAAGCGCGCCGTTGAAGCCAGTAACCTGTTTAATACTGCCGCCGCTGCTCATCTCCACAAAGGTAGAACGATCTCCCATGAGATGGTGGGAGCATCCGCTATCAAGCAGCACGACGCTCGGGTTCGCCTTCACAGCAGCTGCAACAGCCTGTAAGCCCTCCCCGGCCTCAGGCTCTAGCACAACGAGAGGAGTCTGCTCCACAACGGGCTTCACCATCGCACATGATGACTGCCCGCTCCCCTTAGAGCCATTACCCCCCTTTCCGCTGCTACCTCCAGAACCCTCTCCACCAGTGTCTGCCTCCTTATCCGCCCGCTGCTGACAGTACTTAGCAACATGCCCTGTCTGTCCCCACACATAGCACTTCCCCTTGAAGCCCCCTTTCCCCCTCTTCGGCTGGCCATCCTGACCCCCTTTCCACTTCTCCCCTCCCCCACCAACCCCACCCCCATTCTTAGGCTGCTGCTGCTGTGCCGTAGTGGGAGGGGAAGGGAATGAAGTCTGCTGGAATTGGGGCTTACCCTTCTTGGTAAAGACCTGGTTAGCCTGGGGAAGGAATTGGTCCTTTCGTCCCTCCGCCGCCAGCGTACACTCCTCCTCGATGATGTAGCTAGCGAGGGTGTCCTCGTCCAACTCCTTGCGCACCTGCGGCAACTTCAGCATCCTGCGTAAGAGGTTGTACTGCTGCGGCAACCCCTTCACAACGTGAGTGATGTACGACGCCTGCGAGTAATCTACGCCGGCCATCCTCAGGTTCACTAGGATCTGCTGCGCACGGTTGCAATAGGACGTAGCGGACTCGTGCTCTCCCATCTCGAGGTTAGTGAGCGCCTGCTCTAACTGACCGATGTACAGATCATCCTTCGCCATGTACGTGCGCATAATAAACTGCCATGCCTGATAGCCGGCATCTACCTTCATGCGACACGCCTTAAGGGCGATCTGTACGGTTGGGGAGCAGCATCGGGAGATGGTGGTGAACGTCAGCAACTGCATCGCGTGGAACTGGGAGAGATGCGCAAGTGCACGCGCAGGTGGAATGGGGGTGGTGCCGTCTATGAATCGTTTTAGCTGAGCGATCTCAAGCTGCGGCTCGATTGATTCTATCCACGTCGACAGGTCGTGACGTCCTTCTAACGGCCTAGTGACAGCGATCTTGTCTGGAGTGAATCTGAAGTAGCCATAGTTGGGGGCTATTCCCTCGTCCCTCGACATCGATCCAAACGGGGTAACGCCCGGCATAGCCTCACTATCGAACTCTTCCGCAATTCCTCCTCCAGCAACGCTCCGCCGTCCTACATTCGCATGCTCTCGTGACGCTGCTGCACGATGAACACGCTCCTGTACACCGCCGACGCTAGCCGTACTAGACCGAGTTGGTCCTCGCAGGACCCCACGCGACATCAACCCATCAAACTCCTCGTCATCGCTATTTCCGCCATCGACAGCCATATCCCACGCACTAGTACCTCCCGCAACTTGCTCAACATTCTCTACACGTGGCGAAGGGTGCTCACGACGCCGACGCGAGCGCAATCCCTCCAACATTAGCTCGTATTCGATATCACTAATCTCACCACGAAAATGACGAGCCACGAGATCCTCCTCTAGGGCGCGCAAAGTACCGGCCTCCACGTTCGCCTCCTCCGTACTCATCCTCTACGACGTCTCTATAAGGTACCACAAATTAAAATAAATTGCCCCTTTCTTAAATCCCTCGTCTCAGGGTCACCTCACAAGGGTCCTCAGACGAATGGTAATAAATTACCAAACGCCCTGTCCTTGGGTCTGAGAACGTAACTGGAGGGAAATCAAGAGAGGTTCAACTTAGATTAATAAGCGCCCTTCACTAACGCCGCACGCCAAGGCGAGTATACGAACGCGAATATCAACGACGACGGAAATCTATGCGTGTTCGATCCACGCTCACCGCACCATGAAGGAATATATTAGAGAGCGTAGCGATAGCGAGAGAGTCTCTGCTATGGGAATGATGTTGCGCCAGCAACTTGGTAGAGTTTTGGTAGCGTTTGCCTCTAAGGACTTTGTGAGAATTGAAGTAGCATTTGGGCCAAGTAGACTTGCAATATCAACTATCAAACACACAAGCAAACACAAACATATATAGGCAAGCAAGAGTTGCACAATTGTTGCGTGGCGCTGCGAGTAACCCAACCCACACGAAAGTGCTGTGCAGGTGGGTGAACGCGCCCCGCACATTTCCAACCCAACTCGGCACCGGAATGTCTCACCGTGCACGCTACTCCTGCCAACACAGCAAGTGAGCAGCGTGCCTCACAAGCAAGGCACCTACGACCCCCAAGACTCGTCATTCCTAGCACCGATTCCGCCGAGTTCGCTGCAGTAGCTCACAGTCACCCGTAGTCACTAATGACCGCCACCGAACTCGTGCGTCGGTGCCGAGTAGACTCAGTCGTTAGGCGCCGACCTGCCAAGTCAAAGGTCATCGAGGGCCCTTGCTGTCGTAGGGCCCTCTAACATGGAGCCATGTGATTGTGGATTGCAAGCTAGTGACTCCTGGGTGTGCAACATTGAGCTTCCTGTGTCTACCGCATGTGCATTCATGTTCATTGTGCTAGAGATTTTGCTAGCAATCAACTCACTGGCACAATTCCCTCCTCAGTGGGGAACTTCGCAAACCTGACTTATCTGTAAGTTCCCTGAAAGGCCTTTGCTTGGCTGTACTCCAGGTTGTTCTCATACCTACGCTATATATCAGCGGCTGTATGTGTCACCGAATATAATGGTAAGGGCATCATATTGGAGACATGTGCTAATTGGGTGTAGAAGTGGTGTAGCGAGTGTTATTCAATCTGCATGTGGGGTAGTTGGGTTATAGAGAGTAGCGAGAAGCTGGTAGCATTGGGGGTTACAGGGCGCTTCAGGGACAATTCCAGCCAAGCACAAATACCTAGCCTAGCATAGCACACCTGTTCTCTCGTCTTGTTCGCCTCATATAGTGGTTAAGTGTTACCGTTTTTAAGCTACTTAAGCTAGGTGACTGCGCCACTGTGGGCGGCCTGCGTGTGGGAGCCTGAATCTCTCACAAGACGAGAGAAGCAGATCGGCAGTATGGACTGCCATGAGCTGCGCTGGTAGTGGACGTACTCGCGTCGGGAGATACCGCCGTCGCGAAGGATGCGCTCAAAGGAGCGGGGAAGATCGCCAGGTCGTTCGCCTAGCAGAGAGGCGGATCGGGCGGATTGGATGGCGACCAGTGACGGATGGCGCGGTGAAGGCGAGCTCGGTCTGCATATGAGATCGGCGCCAGGACCCCAGCCGTCGAGGAGCGATCCCTGGGATCTGGCAAGAGGCCGGCGGGGCGCGGGAGTAAGGCGTCAGGAGGATGCCGATGAGACGGACTCGCTGATGTCGGCAAACAAGGCCGACGGCGAGGATTCAGCGGAGGATGTTCCAAAGGACGCGGGAGCAGATCACTCGCCGGGCGGCATGCACAAGGCAGGCAAGAGGCGTCGCGGAGAAAAACGCGAAGAGCGCGGAAAGGCGACGGGATCAAATTGCTCGACAGACGAGGTGCGTGGGAGTGGCGCGGGGCGCCAGGGGAGGTGCGCGGATGCAGACGCGCGCCAGAGGAGGTGCGCGGGAGTGGCGCGGGGCGCCAGGGGAGGTGCGCGGATGCAGATCTCTTGTCAAGGGAGCGAGGGGAGGAGGATAAGAGCCGTGCTGCGCCAGCTGGAGTGCATCGTTCGCCCGAGCCAGGACAAGGCCGTGCGGGCAGGAGGCGTATGGCGATGGGAGGAAGGAGATCGCCGGAATGGTCGGAAGAGGAGGAGGACGAGGATTACGAAGGAAAGTGCGTCCAGCACTCGCCAGCAAGGAGGCGGCGACCGGGGGGGAAGGCGCGAGGCAGGGGTAGCGAACGTTCGTCACCCAGCGCCTCAGGGGAACAGGCGGGAGCGCGCCGTGAGAAAGCAGAAGAACACCTGCGGGCAGAGAGGAGGGCTGCAAGGGAAACAAGCAGAGAAACAAGAAGGTGGCCCGAGAGAGGGAGTCGTGAGAGGAGGGGAGAGAGAGTGCGATACCAGCGGGGTGAAGAGGTAGGAGGAGAAGGAGAAACGGGAAAACGGGATCAGGAGCACCGAGGCTGGGAAGAGCGTGGAGATTACGAGGAAAGAGACGGGTGGGGCTCACCTGAAAAAGGAAAGGAGGAGAGGGGTTATGATGTCTGAGAGAGGAAGGACAGAGAGCTGGGAAACAGGGAAGTGGGGCGCAACAGCACAGCCGCGAGTGGAGGTGCCAGTACGCTTCACGGGAAAGGAGAAAACCGGCCCAAGTCTGAAGAATTACTTGATGCAAATCAGCAATGTTAAATACCGATGCGACAGAAGCGGGATGGACCGGATCGAGATTTTCCTGAGCCTGCCAAGCACGTTGGGAGGGGAAGCACAGACTTTGTATCGCATGAAGATTGGTGAATGGCTGAGGAGGGCGGAAGAGGATGACGAGGACCCGACGGTACTGTTCCTGGAGCGCCTAAGGAAGCAGTTCCCTGGGCATACGGCGGTGCGCATTAGGGAATTTCAGGAGTTTAGGCGGAGGGATGAGGAGTCACTGCTGAGATACTACGGACGTTTAATGAACCTGGCGGAAGATGTGGTGTGCACGGACAGCAGCATGATCATTAGCAAGTTTCTGAACGGTTTAGACAAGGCATTGGCAGGAGGGTTGAGAATGAGAGTCTATGAGCTAGGAGCAGATGCAACACCAGAGGTGTTCGAGCTAGCGGAGCGGGCGGAGCTCGCGCAGAGGAAGTACGAGGTATACCTGCCAAGGACGATAGAGAAGAAGAGTCCTACCTGGGCAGCGGCGATGATACCAGGGGAGGGAACAGGAGAAGAGAGCAGGCCGGAAAAAAGGACAGAGACACGCACCTGTTACCGCTGTGGGCAGCCGGGGCACATAAGGATGCACTGCAGGAACTGCGATGTATGTGGGAAGCCAGGGCACCGCCGAAGGGACTGCCCGGAGGCACCGGCATGTAAAGAGTGTGGGGAAAGGGGGCATGAGGCAAGGAACTGTGATAAAGGGACAGGCGGAAGGAAAGGGTCACCAGAGGAGATTGAGAGCCAGATAAGGAAGTTGCGGGCGAAGTTGCAGGCCCTGGGAGGGAGTAAGGAGAAGGAGGCTGGGTTGTACGCGAGGGAAGAAGGAGCAGAAGAGGAGGAGGGGCAGGAGCCAGAGTACACATGCCTGGCGTTACGTAGCCGTGAGGAACTGGGTCTGCGCAGTGGGGGCAGAGACGGAAGGAAAGGGCGGGCGCTGAGGGAAAGAACAGAGAGGCAGGTGGGGTTGTATGCAAGGGAGGAAGAGGAGGAAGAGGAAAGGGAGCAGGAGCCAGAATATTCCTGTGCGGTGCTTCGTAGCAGTGAAGCCATGGGGCTGCGCAGTGGGGGCAGGGACGGAGGAAGGGAGCGAGCGACGAAGGTGAGGGCATGGGCAGTGGCAGAAGAGGAGGAGAAGGATGAGAAGGTGAGGGACTGGGCCGTGGCAGAAGGGGAAGAGAAGGACGAGAAGGAGGAGGCAGGAGTGTGTGAATTTGTAGCAGCAGACACTGAAGGGAAGAATGAGAAGGTGAGGGAATGGGCAGTGGCAGAAGGGGAAGAGAAGGACGAGAAGGTGAGGGCATGGGCAGTGGCAGAAGGGGAAGAGAAGGACGAGAAGGAGGAGGCGGGAGTGTGCGAATTAGTAGCAGCAGGCACTGAAGGGAAGGATGAGAAGGTGAGGGAATGGGCAGCAACAGAAGGGGAAGGGAAGAATGAGAGAGAGGGGACCTGGGCGTGCGTACCAGCAGCCGCGGAAGCAGAGGAGAAGGACGAGCAGATGGGGGCAGGAGTGAGCGAACTTGCAGCAGCAGAAGTAGAAGAGAGGGACGTAGAGGCGGGGGCAAGGCCATGTGTACCAGCGGCAGCAGAAGCGGAAGGGAAGAGCGAGCAGGAGGGAGCGGTGAAGAAAGGAGGGAAGAAGGAGCTGAGCAGTACAGATATGGGAGGGAGTGGTTGGCAGCCAACGCTAAGGACAACGGAGTTGTTCGGGGAAATCGGGGCAGGAGCGAAGACTGGTGTGACGGTGAAGGATTGGATGCAAGCAGAGGAGCAAGCGCAGGGAAACAAGCTGGCGGAGCAGCATGTGAGGAAGCTGCGGGGAGGAAGGCCAGAGCTACTGGGGGAAGAAATGATAGAAGAAGCAACGAGGAGGAGCAAGGCCCAGGAGCAGGAGGAAGCAGAGCGGGAGAGTAAGGAAGTGGGGGCATGGGAGCCCCTAGCAACGGGGGAAAAGGTAGACCATACAATGGAAGATGCGGGGAACCGGGCGGCATGGGAGCGATCTAAGGCAGCTAGACACTTACAGGAGGTGATACCGGCGGCGGTGGAGGATCTACATACCGTGCAGTTAAGGGATGTGTGCTGCTGTGAGCAGTGGCAGCAGCCGGAAGGCAAGGGGATAAAGGCGGCTATAGAGGTAGGATGGGAAGAGAGGGGCGAGGAAGGATACACTAGCTGTGGAATAGGGAAGAGTGAAGGGGAGGGCGCAAGCAGTGTGAAGCGTGGGAGTGCTAGTGCTGGGGAAGGAGAAGGGAGAACAGACCGTAGACCACCAGACCCGCCCGGCAGGAGTGAACAGCAGCCGTCCTCAGCTGAGGGTCCTGTGACTCGCGCCCGAGCGGCTCGAGCACGAGCACAGGAGGGGGTAGGTAGTGGCTGAGAACGAAGAAGGGAACAGGGTAGGAGTGAGAGTGGGGACCGCACAAGGTGGGGAAAGGCCAGAATAAGAAGGAAGGGACGAAGGTGAGGACAGAAGACAGGGAAGAGGCAAGGGCAAGAGATGAGTGAGGAAGGAGAGGGGAGTAACTCCGACAGCTGTCACCGAATATAATGGTAAGGGCATCATATTGGAGACATGTGCTAATTGGGTGTGGAAGTGGTGTAGCGAGTGTTATTCAATCTGCATGTGGGGTAGCTGGGTTATAGAGAGTAGCGAGAAGTTGGTAGCATTGGGGGTTACAGGGCGCTTCGGGGACAATTCCAGAAACCTAGGGAGACAGGCAATCTGGCGAGGGCCAATCCAAGGCCCAGGCGGCTCAAGCTCAACCCAGCACGCTGAGTTACTCGCGACTGGGCAGCCAAGCACAAATAGCCTAGCCTAGCATAGCACACCTGTTCTCTCGTCTTGTTCGCCTCATATAGTGGTTAAATGTTACCGTTTTTAAGCTACTTAAGCTAGGTGACTGCGCCACTGTGGGCGGCCTGCGTGTGGGAGCCTGAATCTCTCATGGTAGTGGCTGAGAACGAAGAAGGGAACAGGGTAGGAGTGAGAGTGGGGACCGCACAAGGTGGGGAAAGGCCAGAATAAGAAGGAAGGGACGAAGGTGAGGACAGAAGACAGGGAAGAGGCAAGGGCAAGAGATGAGTGAGGAAGGAGAGGGGAGTAACTCCGACATATGCTGTGGTCTTGGTCTTGGTACTAGTAGTGGGATAACAGTGTCTGTCTACAGACATGCACAAACAGTGAACCGAGTCTGACACGATCGTGGCTAACACCTGTGTGCCGGTTGGTAAGGGGTACAAGTGCCTACTGGTGTCAGATTCTGGGCAATCGGCAAGGCACTCTTTCAATCAGATGCCATTTCCTCCTTGCTTTTCGCTCGTCCCTCCTCATGTCTCTTATCCATCCACCCTCTTCCCTCAATGTTTTTTCACACATCCCTTTGTGTTGCTCCGCCATTCCCTCCTCAAAGTCTCTGCATACTTCTTGCGCATTCCACCTTCACAGCCCTGTCTGCATCATCCCTCCATCCTTCCTCATTCCTTCCTCTTCCTTCCTTCCTAACTACATTCCAGAAACTCTTCTGTACGTCAATGACAGTCCTTGGGCACTCAAAGTGCTCTTATTCTGCCCCCACATATACTCTGCCAGTGTCAGCACACATCCCACAGACTGTGTTTCATGCCTCTGTTGCATCCTTAGGGATTTCGATTTTCATGGAGTTGCTTCCTTGCTTCTGGCCGTCACTCGTTGCCATGCAAACTTGAGCTTCCTATATCTACTCTTCGTTGCAGGTCACTTTCTTTCAACCAGCTCACTGGCACAATTCCTGCTGCAATCGGCAACCTTGCAAAATTGAACACTCTGTAAGCCCCCAACAAGTAGGGTTGAGCTAAAAAACGAACACCTGTTCGGTTCGCCTCGAACGGGTTTGTTTTTTTTGCTTAAAGTGTTCGCCAAACAGTGTTCGAGGTTCGCCCAAACACATAAGTGTTCGGGCCGCTGCTGCAATTCGCCCCGTGACGAACACGAACGTGTTCGCGGTTCGCCCGAACACGCCTTCACAGGCGAACGGCGAACACGTGTTTTTGCTAAAAGTGTTCGCCGAACCGGACACTGTTCGGTTCGGCAAACGGCTGTGTTCGTGTAGGGGCGAACACGAACATGTTCGTGTTTTCCCCTTGCTCATCCCTACCAACAAGTCCTTCGCTTGGCTGTACTCCAGGTTCTTCTCCTCTCTACTCCCCCCTGTGTCTCCTGCTTTAGACGCCCATGCACTCTATTTTCCTCTCTTCCTTCAAATCCACCTGCATCAGCTCCGCTGACCTCCACCCTATCTTTTTGTTCTATCCTGGTTTCGCCTTACTTCTCCCCTCTCCCACCGCTCTCTTGACCGTGTTCATTGTATTCATGCCTGACAGCCAGGCCCTTACACTATCCCCAGCCAGTGTTAGCACACATTGCACCAACAATGTCTAAGTGCTGCTTTTCTCATGGTTGTTTGCCTCCCAGCGGAATTGCTTGCTTGTTCCTGTCCTTCGCTCGTTGCCATGCAAACTTGAGCTTCTTATATCTGCCGCATGCCGATTTATACTCATTGTTGCAGAACACTTTCTGTCAATAAGCTCAGTGGTTCAATTCCTGCTACAATTGGCAACGTTGCAAAACTGAACACTCTGTATGCCCTGGCAAGGCCTTTGCTTGGCTGTATTCCAGGTTGTTCTACTCTATACTCTCCGCTGTTTCTCCTCCTTTTGATGCTAATCCCGACCCATGCACTCCATTTTTCCCTCTTCCCTTATCCACTTACATCTCCTCCGCTGACCACCACCCTCTCCTTCGCTGTATCCCACAGTCTTGGTCCTAGACATGAGCAATGTGCCTGACACAAACACGTTCGTGGTTGGTTTTTTCTCATGCCTTCTTCAACCATTGTCCCTTCCAGTCCCACAACCTCAGAAGCTTGCAGGCTTCTTGCATCCGTCTCTTCCTCCTTTCTTAACACTCTCCACATCATCCCTCTGTTTCTCCACGTTCCTTCCCTTTCCGTATATCCTATTTACTTTCTTTTCCGCCACTCTCCTTCCTATCTACATTCCGTCACCCTCCTCACCTCTCTTGTCCCCATCTTTCCTCTGCCAGTAATATCACACATCCCATGGACAATATCCATCGTGCTGCCTTTCATGCAATCTTGAGCTTCCTCTATCTACCACATGCGCATTCATGTTCATCGTGGCAGATCTCTTGCTAGGAATCAACTCACTGGCACAATTCCTGATGGAATGGGGAACATTGCAGACCTGACTTTACTGTGAGACCCCTGAAAGGACTTTGCTTGGCTTGGCTGTACTCCAGCTTCTTCTCCTCTCTACTTTCCGTTGTTTCTCCTCCTTTTGATGCTAGTCCTGACCCATGCATTCCATTGACCTCTCTTCCACTATATCCACTCGCATCAGCTCCTCTGACCACCACACTCTCCTAGGCATGAGCAAGGTGCCTTGCAATGGTTAGGTTCGATGGGTTTGTTTCGGTTTTCCCCGATCCAAACTGGTTTCTTTGTTTCTGGTTATAAACCGAACCGGTTCGACAGTTCGCTCGATTCGTTTTCAACAAGGTCTCGAGCCGCGATGACTGACCCGGGTTGTGCAAAATGAAAAACATAAAAGAAAAACAAATCATTGGAGCTTATTGTGATGTGACTAGCCTTATTGTGTTTTTTCATGGTTTTCTTTCTAATGAACATCGAACCGCTTACGGTTCAAATCAAACCGGCCCGGTTCGTTCGAACCTTTTTTATTATTATTATTATTTTAAATTTTGACGAACCACGCACCGGCTCCGGTTCGTGCGGCTCGTAACCGAACCGCCCCGTTTCTGAAGTATTTTTATTTTTTACGGGGCCGGTTTGGCACCGTGCTCTTGCCTACCCTCTCCTTTGCTGTATGCTGTGGTCTTGGTACTAGTAGTGCGCATGCGACTGGAGCCATGTGATTGTGGATTGCAAGGTAGAAGAGATTTGAGGGTGTGGAATGACCACACGCAGCAGTGTCTTTTTGCAGAAATGCACAAAGGCTTCAAGCAACGCGAGGGCCTCGACTACACTGAGACACCATTTATTTTGCTTGTTACGCCTCGCTTGCTCCTCACCTTTGCTGCTGCCCTTGATCTTGAGATGCATCAACTCGACATCTCCAATGCCTTTTTCGATGGCGACTTTGACAAGATCATCCACGTGACCAACCACCCGGTTCTAAGCTCCTTCATGCTGACAGCTCTCCTCAAGTTTGCTTACTGCAGGAGCCCTTGTACGGCCTCAAGCAAGCGCCTCACATTTGGCCGTCACACCTCCGTTGCGGACCCCCGGCCTTTTCATTGCTGCACCCTCCTCACCTCTTCTTCCTCATCCTTCCCACTTCTTCTTGTCTTAGTCTTTGTAGATGATCTGATCATCCTTTCCACGACCATCACTCCACTTGCCACCTTCAAGACTTCTCTGGCCACCCGCTTCAAATTTCGTGACCTTGGCCACGCCAATCCCAGCCACACCCCCATGGACTCTAAGCTCCTCCTTCCGTCACACTCCTCGTCGCCACCCTCTTTAACCCTTTCCCGCAATGGTTGCCACTCGCCCTGACATAGCCCATTCCACTGGAATCCTTTCACGTCACCTCCATTCTTGCTTGGATCTTCATTGGCTGGCTGCAAGACGTGTTCTTCGTTACCTTAAAGGGACTTCTTTCCATGGGCTGCTTCTTGGTGGCAATCCCGCCGCCTCCCTTCACCTGGTTGGGTATTGTGATGCTTCATGGGCTTCTGAAAGTGAGGATCGTCATTCCCTCACTGCATACCTGTTCTTTCTCCGCCCTTCTCTGATTTCATGGCAATCCAAGCGGCAATGTGTGGTTGCAACATCCTCTTGTGAGCTGAATACTACGCGCTCGGTGCGGCAACCCACGAAGCCCTTTGGCTCCGCACTCTCCTCTCCTCTCTTGGCCTTCCCCCCACTGGTCTAGGTATGATTAAATGGCCCGACCCGACCCGACCCGACCCGACTTGGGCGGGCCAGCCGGGTTCCGGGTCGGGTCGGGTCGGAACTTTTGAGATCTCTGGCCCGACTCGGGTATCGGGTGCCGGGTCAGGCTTGACCCGCCCCCGGGTTGGGTCGGGTCGGGGCCGGGTCGGGTCGGGTCGGGCTGACTCCCATAGGCAGGGTTAGAGGTTCTCCTTAATACTGTGCTACTGCTGTCCTCTCCTTCCATTCTCGCCTCCGTTAAACTCCCTAACGCGGATTCAGCGCAGGACCTTGGCGAATGACGTATCCCAAAGCCTTCAGCAGGGGCGCGGCTCTAGCGACCTGCGCCTGCACAGCGCGCCGAGATGCCCTAAGACGCGGGCCTGCAATGCGCGCGCCTAGGGTGGGAGCGCGACCTGTAAATTTCGGATTTAAAGCAAACCCTAGGATGGTTGGCGCGAAGTGCAAATAACTTATAAAAAGAAGATTGGCTGAGTACTAACTAAACATTATCGTAGGTTATAGGGTAGATTAGTACGCCAATGTTGCTTGGTGGGTGGCTGCTGACGTCACTAGCTAATTAACCTAACTTAATCCAGATCGAAATGCTAGTCGCTGGGAAAACAAGCAAGCGCGATTGCGAGCTGGATAACATTGTCGAGAGGAAACCCTCGGGTCGGGCCAGATACCCGACCCGAGATAGGGCGCGGTACCCGAAACCGGGTCGAGTCCATAATCGGGTCAAAACCCGACCCGACCCGACCCGACCCGGAATCGGGTCACGGGTCGACCCGACCCGGCCGGGTATACCCGACCCGACCCGGCCGGGTCAGCGGTTCAGAACTCCTGACCCGACCCAGGTCAAAACCCGGGTCGGGCCCTATGCTCATCCCTACACTGGTCCCACCCCGCTGCTTTGTGACAACACTAGCGCCATTGCCTTGGCAAAGGACGCTGGTGTTTTTCCATGCCCGTGCCAAACACATTAACATCCGCCACCATTTCCTCTGTGATCATGTTGACGAAGGGCATATCCCACTGCACTACATCCCTAGCCGTGACGACCTTGCTGATTTGGAGGCCAAGCCTCTCCCTCGTGAGACGCTTCAGTGTCTCCAGTCCTGCATCGGCCTTGCCCTGCTACTTCTTCTTTCACTTCTCCCTCGATGTCACTCTAAGGGGGGGTGTTGTTGGGTACTTATTGTCCTTCAAGGTTGCTGGGGGATTTGTTCACTAGTTTATTTATGAGTTATATATCTCGTTTACATTACACTAGCGTAGACATTAAGGGTTGTGTTATATTTGTTATGGGGTGCCCTTGAGTGACTTTATCAAGCGCTAGGCACTCGGCTGTAGGGCACCTCGGTACGTTTCCCAACCTGGGAGGCGCGGCTCCAGCCTGGACCCACGAATTTCAACATTGGAAACGCGGCTCCAGATTGGAATTCGCGTTTCCAATTCGTGGAATCGCGGTTCCACTATAAGGGGCGCTTCCAGGCCTAGTTTGAGGGTCCCTCACGTCCCCATCTTGACTGTGGGCGGCTTGAGATTGGCCAACCCAAGACCCTTGGGTACCAATATTCTCTCCTGGACGATCCCAAGTCGCCTCCAAGCTAGCTTTCTTCATTCTCTGCATAATGTAGCTTTTGTTTTGCTTGTGTCCATTACTTCAGATCACTTACTGCTCTAGAACCTTTCGGCATTCCAGAATCAGTTTCTTGTTGTGCACATTGGGTCTGTATTTCTAGACTGTACATTGACTACACTCCTTGGGGCACACAAAGTGCACTTATTCTGCACCCACTTATCGTCTCCCAGTGTCATCACATCCCAAGGACAGTTTTTCTTGCCTCGGTTGCATTCTCAGTCCTTCACTCGTTGCCATGCAGACTTGAGCTTCCTATATTTACCGCATACCCCTTCATACTCTTCGTTGCAGGTCACTTTCTTTCAATCAGCTCACTGGCACAATTCCTGCTGCAATCGGCAACCTTGCAAAACTGAAATCTCTGTAAGCTCCCAACAATGCCTTTGCTTGGTTGTACTCCAGGTTCTTCTCCTCTCTACTCCCCCCTGTTTCTCCTGTTTTCAATGCCCATGCACTCTATTTTCCTCTCTTCCTTCAAATCCACCTGCATCAGCTCCGCTGACCTCCACCCTATCTTTTTGTTCTATCCTGGTTCTGCCTTACTTCTCCCCTCTCCCGCCGCTCTCTTGCCCGTGTTCATTGTATTCATGCCTGACAGACAGGCCCTTACACTATCCCCAGCCAGTGTTAGCATACATTGCACCAACAATGTCTAAGTGCTGCTTTTCTCATGGTTGTTTGCCTCCCAGTGGAGTTGCTTGCTTGTTCTTATCCTTCGCTCGTTGCCATGCAAACTTGAGCTTCTTATACCTGCTGCATGCTGTTTTATACTCATCGTTGCAGATCACTTACTGTCAATCAACTCAATGGCACAATTCCTGCCGCAATCGGCAACCTTGCAAAACTGAACACTCTGTATGCCCCTGGCAAGGCCTTTGCTTGGCTGTATTCAAGGTTGTTCTACTCTATATCTCCGCCACTTCTCCTCCGTGCGATGCTAATCCCGACCCATGCACTGCAATTTCCCCTCTTCCTTCTTATCCACTTGCATCTGCTCCGCTGATCACCACCCTCTCCTTCGCTGTATCCTGTAGTCTTGGTTCTAGGCATGAGCAATTGGGCAAACCCCTGTTCAGTTTGACTCAAACATTGTTTTGGGCAATACATCTTCAACCGAAGGCATAAGTGTTCCGGTCGAACATGTTCAAGTCGAACACCTGTTCGGGTTGATCCGAACGGGTGTTGATTTACTGTCAAAAGTGTTTCGGTCAAACATGTTGCTGTTTCACCTGAGCATGTTCGGTTCGGTTTGCCTTTCAGTGCCAACCCACGTCAAACACAAGCACGTCAGTATGAACTCACGTTACTGCACAGCCTCTCCTGGGAGAGGCAGTCAGGCATTCAGATAACCTGCAGATTTCATGGTTTTTGGCAGTGCGACAGCAGCAGAGTATTGCCAAAAGGTGAACACGAACATGTTTGCCCCGAGCTGTTCACCTACAAAGGCGGACATTCAAACATCAGATTTCAGAAAAGTGTTTGGGGTGAACCAAAAAAGTTGACGCACATCATACCCTCTAGACATGTTGAAAACGTGTTCGACGCAAACACATTTGTGGTCGGGTTTTTTCTCGTGCCTTCTTGTCCCTTCCAGTCCCACAACCTCAGAAGCTTGCACGCTTCTTGCATCCGTCTGTTCCCCCTTTCGTAGCACTCTTCACATCATCCCTCAGTTCCTCCTTAGTCCTTCATTTTCCTAATTTCCTATCTACTTCTTTTCCCGCCGCTCTTCTTCCTCATGTGGCAGAGATTTTTCCAGGAATCAACTCACTGGCACAATTCCTGATGGAATGGGGAACTTTGCAGACCTGATTACACTGTAAGCTCCCTGAAAGGACTTTGCTTGGCTTGGCTGTAGCCCAGCATCTTCTCCTCTTTACTCTCTACCACTTTTCCTTATGGCGCTAGTCCTGACCCCTCTTCCGTTATCCACTCGCATCAGCTCTGCGACACCCTCTTGGTACTAGTCCTTTTCTCTCTACCAATTTTCCTGTTGGTGCTAGTCCTGACACCTCTTTGGTACTCTTAGTGCCCATGCGATGGGAGAAGGGATTTGAGGGTGTGGGATGACCACACACTGCAGTGTCCGTCCGCGGACATGCACAAACAGCAAACTGTCTGGCACGGGAAGCCACACTGCTGACTAGAGCCAAGTGTTTGAGCTCAGATTTGGAGAAATTGGCAAAGTACTCTTTTGAACCTTGTTTTCATGCGTAATGCCTTTCTGCTCCATTCACCTTGCTGCTTGCTCGTCTCTTGTGATTGCTCTTCTTTATTTAACCCCCTCCCACAATGTTTCTACGCTTTTCAATTCTACTCTAGACTAGGATTGAGCAAAAGTCGAACACCTGTCTCTATCTGTCCCCTGGAGAAGTTAGCACACATCCCACAGACAGTGTCCATTGTTCTGTGTTTCATGCCTCTGTTGCATTATCAGGGGTTTTGCCTTCCAATGTACTTGCTTGCTCCTATCCGCTGCTTATTTCCATGCAACATTGAGCTTCCTGTGTCTACCGCATGTGCGTTCATGTTCATTGTGCTAGAGATCTCGGTAGCAATCAACTCACTGGCACAATTCCCTCGTCACTGGGGAACTTTGCAAACCTGACGTATCTGTAAGCCCCCTACAAGGCCTTAGCTTGGCTATACTCCAGGTTGTTCTCCTCTCTACTCTCCACCATTTCTTTTCCTTTTGATACTTGTCCTGATCTTTGCACTTTATTTTCCCTTCTTCCTACTTCTCAGTATTCCTCCCTTCACAGCCCTGTCTGCATTATCCCTCCATCCTTCCTCATTCCTTCCTTTTCCTGTTTTCCTACTTACATTCCGGGTACTCGTCTGTACGTCAATCACACTCCTTGGGGCACACAAAGTGCACTTATTCTGCCCCCACCTATCCTCTGCCAGTGTCAGCGCACATCCCACTGACTGTGCTTCATGCTTCTGTTGCATTCTCAGGGATTTTGATTTCTACATACCCCTTCATACCCATCACTGCAGATCACTTTCTTTCAATCAGCTCAGTGGCACAATCCCAGCTGCAATCGGCAGCCTTGTAAAACTGAAAACATTGTAAGCACAAAAAAAGGCCTTCGCTTGGCTGTACTCCAGGTTCTTCTCCTCACTACTCCCCGCCGTTTCTCCTCCCCGCTGTTTCTCCTCCTTTCAATACCCATGTACTCTATCTTCCCCGCAGACCACCACCCTATCTTTTTGTCCCAATTTCGTTTCGCCTGGTTCCTCCCCTCTCCCGCTGCTCTCTTGCCCGTGCTCATTGAATTCATCCTTGACAGGCATAAAACTTGTCTTTCTCATGTCCCTGTGCCTATCCATCCCCTGGCTGGCACTGTCAGCACGCATCTCACCCCACCGCGGACAATGTCCACCACACTTCCTTTCAAATTTGACCTCCCTGCATCTTCTCTTCACGCCCGCTCATGCTTATCCTTGCAGACATCTCTCTACCAATCAATTCACTGGCACAATTCCCACTGCAATGGGCTATTTCACAAACCTGCAAATCCTGTGAGGCATAAGCAAATACTGGACCCGAACCGGTTCGGGTCGAACCGGCTGTGGTAGTCGAACCAAACTACTTTCTTTTCAGCTGAACCAGGCTGAAGAGCTCACGGTTCTAGCTTTAAGCCCTCATGTTCAAACATGATGGTGTTCGAGTCAAACTTCTGTATTTCGTCCTGAAGCAGGTGGGTGAACCGTTCCGGGTTGGTTCTATGCTCCTGTGAGCCCCTGTGCAACGCGCTTGCATCCTCGCCACCACACTCCCCTCCCCTGTCCCCCGTTCCCCCTTCTCTATTTTCCGGGTTTCGCCTAGCTGCTGGAATCTGCTTTCCCTGTGATATCTCGTTTTTCGCTGCACCGATAAGGAGACGGTCGGCAGCCCGATCAGCTGAAGCGCACAGATGCTTGGCAACGGGCTGCAGCGCAGTGGCGAAGCGCCGTATAGATAGACATGGGCAAATTGACCCGCATGTTGGGTCGACCGGACCCGACTTGCTATTCTGCCCCCAGTCTGTTCGGGTCGACCCATGATTTGAAAAAAGGTCGGGTCGACCTGTCAGTGTTGATCTGACTCGTTGGATCATGCAAGGCGGTTGAATTGGATCATGCGAGGCGGTTGGATTGTTAAATGACTGGTGACACACACACAAAGTCGCCTTGCACAGGCACTGTACCTAGGAGGTTTTGACCAGGTTTGCACAGCTTAACACACAATTTTCCTTGCTCCGCCGTTCCCACCCTTCCACTCTCCAGTCCCCTCAAGGAGCATTCTTCCGCCATTCTCGGTTCTCACCAAGGGCACGAAGAAGGAGACGACAGGAAAGTTCGTGGCGAAGCCAGTGGTTCTGTTTCTGTACCAGCCTGGTGTGACTTCAAAATGTGGCTTGGAGTTGGCCTTCAGAGTCAACTTCACCTTTGGTCTTATACCCCAGTATGGCACCTCGGGGTCCAATGGCTTTGCATTTGTGATTGCAGCGAAGCCCAAGGTGGGGAGGCCTGGTGGTGTGGGGTACAGAGGAGTGGGACCTCGTAGCATGGCTGTTGTCTTCAACAAGCTTCAGAATGATGCAGGCGAGCAGCACGTGGGGCTGAGCGTTAACGGCACAGAGATACCCTTGGTCAAGGAGGTGTCACCATTCACTTTCGCCGATGGCAATGCATATACTGTGTGGGTGGATTATGAGCCTGGAGCTCCCAGCACCATTCAAGTGTTCCTGGCGAACTCAAACGTGAAGCCAGAGGAGCCGCTGCTGCAGGGGAGGGTGTCGCTGTGTGCAGTGCTGCAGCCTGGAGTGAAGCAGCCAGCATTCTCATTTGGATTTGTGGCGTCAACCACTGTAAAGCCATTCCAGCTGCAAGGCATTTACTCCTCCGCTGTGCAAACAGGCAAGGTTATTTCGGCAAGTGGATGGGTGATGATGACTGGTTTAGGTGGTGGTGGTGGTGGTGGTGGTGTTGCTGCTGCTGCTGCTGCTGCTGCTGCATCTGCTGCTGCATCTGCTGCTGCATCTGCTGCTGCTGCTGCTGCTGCTGCTGCTGCTGCTGCTGCTGCTGCTGCTGCTGCTGCTGCTGCTGCTGCTGCTGCTGCTGCTGCTGCTGCTGCTGCTGCTGCTGCTGCTGCTGCTGCTGGTGGTGCTGGTGCTGGTGGTGGTGGTGCTGGTGCTGCTGCTGGTGGTGGTGCTGCTGGTGGTGATGCTGCTGGTGCTGCTGCTGGTGCTGCTGGTGCTTCTGGTGCTGCTGGTGCTGCTGGTGCTGGTGCTGGTGCTGGTAGCTAACATGCATGATCTTGCCACTGCTCCCTTTCATGTGGTCTCTTTGTTTAAGACCCAACCAGCACTCTATGGCCTTGGTGCTTCTCTTTCTTCTTGTGTCTCTCTTCACAGGCGCTCCTTCACCCAAGATAGTCCATTTCAATGAGCAAGGTGAGCTCCCTGACACATGGCAACCAGAGCCTAGAATGATTCTATTCTTAATTTATTTATAAATACTTGCGTATATCGAACATCATACTTTCCCACCATGCCATTGTGGTCCATTATTAGTGAGCTGCGTACAGAAATACCAATACATGATCCTATCTGGGTACCACCCTGGGCTGCTAGGGAAGTCATATGGGGGCTCTAGGCTATTCACTACCCCGGCTGGAGCACCAGTCACCTAGTTTGGAGCTCTTGCCCACTTTTTAGCCTAATCCTTGCAGCTTTGTCACATTGTTTATGGGTAAGTACAAGATATTTGTGACACATGCTTATAGAAGGTGTAGTAGCGGCATATACATTACTGGTTGAAGTAGTATGAAACAACGGTTGGTGGCTAATGGAATAGCAAGGCAATTGACAGCAAACTCGTGGGTGAGCCAATTGGCACCAAGCCAAAGCATCTCCGCAGCAACCGCAAACTCAGTGCCGCACTTTGGAAAATGCGTGGCTCGAGCAATGTTCACGCTAAGAGGCCAAACGCTAACTTAGTGACCTTGCTATGTTTGGCTCCTCGTAGAGTGGGTTGAGTTGCCTTCTAAAGCTTACTAAGCCTGGTGACCTGACACTCGAAGCAGCAGATCATTGTGGGGGAGAACAAATATCTCACAATCTCTGCAATAGTGCAATAAATTGCTTCTGCGATGTTGCTTACCTATTCACCTTCTAATTGGTTATGCCGCTAATTACTACCTCTAAAGCTCCAGGGAGCTGTGGGCTCTCTGCTCCACTGCTTGTGGGGGGTTGTTAGAAATTCACTTCAATCTCAACCTTTCTACTCGTACTTAATATCCAGATTTAGTGCCATTTTAGTTTGTGGGGTAGATGTTAGAACTTGAGCTTAGAATCCATGCATTAGTAATGAGCTTGAAGCTCTTTAAGTACATCTAGGATGGGCAAGGAATGTATGGGGAGGGGAATCGGGGACAATCTCTAGGGATTGGGGTAATCCCAAGGCAATCTCCAATTGGTGGGTTGGAGATTGCTCGGAGATCACATTTGGGTTTGGTTGGGATGTAGGTGTGCACCCAACCAAACACAAAGTGCAAACTACACTACGCTAGGATATAGAAAGTACAAATACAAAGTGTGAGATTGAGGGTTAACACTAACAGTAGATTGCACCAGTATTCGGATCTTAAGATGTGTCTCCTGTAACCATTTTGCACGATCGATATCAGGATCGGAGATTGAACCACATTGAAATCCTCCTAATTGCATTAACAGCTTTCAGCACCATTTTGAACTCCGTCAAAAAGCGATTCTGCGCAGGATCTGTGCTAGAGGTGACACGTCCTTACACATTGTCCCCGACCCTTTCCAGCTCATCACTGATATCCTCAAGAGTCCTTGACAGCACTGTCAACTACTACCCCCAATCGCATCTTTCATATACGTCCATTGCCCTCCTCACAGCTCTCGGCCTCTCATTGTCAGAGGCTACATTTGCATCATCTCAAGCCAGTCCCTTTTCGCGCTATGTGAGTGCGGACTTCAAGCTGTCGGCCACCAGAGAGGACTCGTGGAGCATTCGTGACTTCCACACGTGGGACTCCGTGCGCTTCCTCAAATGGCCTGTCAAGAACCAAAATGACTGCAGTGAGTGGATATAGAATCGTGAGTCCACTTCAGTACCTGAGCTGCTTTTCCAATCCACTACGCTGTTGCTGTTTACTAATCGATTGTAGCAACAGATTCATTAACTATAAATTATGGCATTCCTTATTCACTGCCATCTAGTGTGGAATTTTTCACTAATTATTGTAGTCTGTTCCGCGTTCACGCAGCAGATGCCAATGAACCTGCATCCTCTACATAGAAGGCTCACAGTCTAAGTAGGGCACATCAAGAGTGATTAAATGGAGATCAGAGGATGGGAACACAACTCCATGAGAATCTATTTAGACTCCGAGGAAACTTGATTGATTAGGTTGTCAGGTCTATACTTTACCCTCTTAACATAAATTCGTAACCCAACTACATGAAATGTGCAGCCTATCTTCATCACTCCATCCTTATTGCACGCTTCACCTTGCTTCGCCTTTGCCTTCCTCTCAGACGCGTGCTGGGCGTATGCGGTGGTGGCGAGTGTGGAGGCGGCATACGGCATTGCAAAGCAGCAGAGCGCTCCCCGGCTGTCAGTGGAGGCGCTCTTTGCGCTCATGGGGCTCTCTGATTCAAACAAGTGCTCTGCTGGCGGCTCCCCCACGGAAGCATTTGAGAAGCTCGTGGCCCTCAATGCCTCCTCCAGTGGGCTCACAGCGGCCAGCGACCTGGTAGGGCAAACAGCATGAGGACGTGATATGGTATGGTATGGTAAGATATGTTGGTGTCAGCTTGGGGAGGGTAAATTACTTTCCTTGCTTGCCGTTTCAGAATCCAAAATGATAATGAAAGAAACCCACCCAACCAGCTAGGGAGGTCTAAACGTACAGCTATTTCATCGGTGTCTAAATCCAGAAATTCGATGCTGATTTATTGAGGCATCGTCTGACATGGTGGAAAGTTTATTGTTGTTTTGCTCATAGCCTGCCTTGCTTTTTTTGGCGTGTCCCTTCTCAGGAGGGAGGACTGTGCCCTTCCCTAGTTTCAGAACTTCTTCAAACCTCCCCTTGCCCACCCCAATCTCACCTCCAACCCCAACCCCACCTCTACCCACCTGCAATCTCGTGGTCCAGGCAACAAAGTACCCGGTGCAGGCGTTCGAGCGAGCGCAATTCAAGGGGTATGTGGGGCTCATGCTGGCAGTGCAGCGGCAGCCAGTGGTGGTTCACATCGAGGCGTCTCCAACCTTCATGCAGTATGATGGGGTGCGTCGCTGCACCTTTCGCCCGCTTTGGTCTCTACCGTGTTGTGTGGTCCTCGTGTCACCTGGATGGCAGTTGCGTTCATTGGTAGACGAGTCCCATCACTTTAGAATGCCGGATTCGGTCATACAGTTTCACACCTGCCTGACCTGTTCTAGTTGAACTCGCCCGTTCTAAATGTTCTGCCCCCATCTCACTTCAGACCTATAAATACCAGGATCCTGGCTGCTACACGGGCAGTCTCAACCATGTTGTACTCGTTATTGGCTACTTCATTGCAAGAAATGATGGCAGCCAGAACCGCATCGCTCCTCCGTTTTGGATCATCCGCAACTCATGGGGAGAGAATTGGGGCAACAGGGGCCACATGCGCATGGACATTCAGGGAGGGGATGGCGTATGTGGCATCAACGTGTTGCCTGGCATCTACCCCGTCGTAAAAAGTAAGGCATCCACCCCATTGTCAAAATCGAGCCATATCTGCTCTATCATGGGCGAGGTTAGCCATATCTATCTACCAGGCAAGGTGCATATACCTCTGTGTATGGTCCCTTCTGTATGTGGTCTGTGCTGCCCAGCAATGGTTGCTTGCTCTCCTCTCTTGCCAAAATCGCCTCTGTTTCTCTAGGTCCACTGGTATGACTTCTAACATCTGGAAGGGCTACAAGTAAGCCTGGAAACGAATAGCTTTATCTAAGGTCGTATCTCCAGCAAGTGTCAAGAGGGGCTAGTGTCATGACACCAACTCGAAAACACATGGAGGACTATCCCTCCTAGTGTCAGCTAAACCAACCAATGAGATCGCGGGAAATCGTCCAATGTGCCCAACATTGACACCAGGCTGGAGCCGCGCTCACGCGCGGCTCCACTTGGTGTCAACCGTAAACAACGCTTGACACCAAGCCTTTCTTGACACTTGCTGGAGATACGACCTAATATGGTACTCTTGGTATTCGGTCAAATACTCGATAGAAAACGAACTCAAATTTGTATGGTTACTCTCGTGTATTCATTTTGTCAAATATTCAATCGTCAGATTACTTTAAAGAGCAGGGTACCATACTGAAATTTTTGGTCCTATACCATTAAAAACTGAAATGGTTCGCGAAGAAACCAAATCTGTGGTGACTAGTTCTGATGAACTCACTCGGGAAGCACCCGAAGACTAGCAAATTCTAAGCCCTAAGTTCTACAATACGATATTGTAAATGGATGCATACAGCTCATGAATAACGTATTATAACCATAACCCTAGCAAGCTCCAATATAACATGCGGGTACGCAGCAACAGAGGCAAATGGAAGAAAACATACACAAAGAGCGTCAAAGGAACCAACTAGTGAGCAGATACGATAGAAAAACTAGGACTAAGGTTGGAAAGGTGAAATTCTAGAATCAGGCAGGAAAGAATGTAGAGAAGGAATGGGGTACGTACAACTGGATTATGTATGCAAAATGAAACACATTAGCACATGAACAGTATGCATGCAAGCTGAAAGCTGACAATTTTTTCACTAGAGGAGAATCATAGCGTCAAGCTTGGTAAGCGCAAATGCACCTGTGCTGTGGTGCTTAGCTAAGTGGCATGAGCTGTGTAGTCTGCTGTAAGTGTCTGCTGTAACCTCCATCCTCATGTTCTTCAAGTGTATCCTGTTACTTTCCATTCCAGTTCCAGGAGACCCCTGTGGAGAAAGCAGCTACAAGGGCGATGGGGATTCGCAGCCCAGCATGAACCCATGTGGCCGGTTCCAGTGCCGGGCGATAGCAGCAAGAAGCAATAACTGCACCTGCAATATTCCGACTGCTACTGTGCAGCCTTTCGTGGAGGTTGCGAATGGAATTGGCTCCACTTGTGCTTATGGTAAGTTCAGTGGCAACTCAAAGGGTGAGTGGAAGGTTTTTGAGGCGCCTCAAAGGTTGCGAATGGAATTGGCTCCACTTGTGCTTATGGTAAGTTCAGTGGCAACTCAAAGGGTGAGTGGAAGGGCATGTAGTTTGGTCTTGCACTGAAGTATGTCCTGCTGTTGCAGCATGCAGACGTTTTCAAATGTATGCAAATTGTCCCACGGAGAGTAAGGGCAATAAGGTGAGCTAACAAGGTGACTCCACTCCTCTAGGACCCAAGTGCTCTACATACTCCTGCCTGTCTCCGATGTGTGTTAGAAGTCGCCTAGAGGTGGCTGGGAGTGTGTGGACCTTATACCCCTTTTTTCTCTCCCAATATTCACCCTCACTTTCATCTATATAGCCATGTTTGTCTCAAATCTCTGTAATATCCGCCTCCTCGGTGCACGTTTGGCAGTGGACGTCTGTGGGTCATACTTCAAGAACCCCTGCTACCTGGGAGCATGCATCAACGATGGCAAGGGCTCCTACTCCTGCATCTGCCCTCCCAACCACGTTCTCAGCACAACAGTTGAAGGTTTCCCCACCTGCGATCCAAGTAAGTCGCTTTAATATGTCCATTGCACTCTCTCATTGGTGAATGTGCCAAGTATCCTCCGCTTGCTTGGTGAGGCTGGCATCTTCCATTCCTCCAATCCTGTTCCTCTTCCTTCAAATATTTTATGTGTCCTTCTCTCCCTCTGTGCCTCTATCTCACTCCCCATTCTGCCTGCAGCTAACACCACGGAGTCAACAATGACAGTCAGTGGAGACAACTGGTGGTGCTCCGATGTTCATCCCCTTGTTGGCCTCTCACTGACTGACTTCACTGACCAAAATAGAGTGAGTGAAGAGGGAGTAGGAGCTATGAGCCATCATTCCGCTTTGTATTGCACCCCTTTCACCCTCCCATCAACACACAGATGCTCTCCACTCTTCCATTCACAGGACGAATCCTGCAATGCTGTATTGAATACTGAAATGTGAGAACCTTACTCTCCAAGACCTACTGAGGAGAGGAGGCCTTCTCAGTGTGCAATGTGGTACGGAGTTCTCATTCATCCACGTTTCTCCCAATGCATGGCATTGACTGCAGCCAGCCATTGCCCAAGGGCAGTGTCCTTCAGCTGGATGGCACTCCTGCCACACCCTGCACTGCCTTCTTCTACTCCCTCAACGTGAGCCCTGCTGCTTTCTTGCCCACACCACAACATGCACTCGACCAGCTCGTGTGGAGGACTCAGCATATCCCAAGACCTGGAAAATATCGTTACACACATCACAAGCACCAATCATTACTTTCCCTGCCTCTGTTCAACCCTCCAGGGGGACACCTGTGCATCCATCAGCATATCGCTCAACTTCAATTTCGGAGATCTCGCCCCGCTCAACCCCGGCCTTGACTGCTCCAAGCCCATCAAGGCGGGCCGCTCTGTGTGCCTCGAGCGCAGTGCTGCTTTCGCATTCACCGTGCCTGAGTGTGTACGATACAGCACGCTCACACCTCAAGACACGTGCGACCAGCTGCTGCAAAGGACCAGCAAGAACGTACCCCCTTCGGAAGGCAATCCCAATGACAATTCACAAGGGGATGCCAGTGCCAGTGAGAATCCATGGGCTGCGCTGTACCGCAACAATCCCGGCCTCACTTGCGCCGCCACCATCCCTTCCTCTGCCTCCGCTATCGGCAGCAACATTGGTGTGCAGGTGAGGATTGCCGGGACTGAAGGGGACGTGCCTTATCTCCTTTGCACCTATTGTGCACTCCTTGCTACTCTCCTCCAGCTTATCCAACGCCATTATGGATTCATGAACCTCTATCCCATCCCATGTGTCCTATGGTTCCAGGTTTGCCTGAGGGCAGAGTATTGGCCGTTCACGAGGGGTGTATGCAAGAAGGATAGGGCCAAGCCTGTCCAGCGGTCAATGGCATGCTCAGCTGCTTACAGTTTCTACGGTGGGCCTACCTCAACAGCAATCGCACGGTTTTACGAGTACAACGGCAGGTCTTGCTCTGGAACTGTGGCAGATAAGTCCATTTGTGTGCCATAGTAATTTGAAATGTACCTTGTTTGACTCTTAAAATTAATGGCTCCAAGGTACCGGTAACTTCAAAAACGCTTAGGGGACATTGTGGAGGACGTTTCCACTTACCATGAAACACGGTGATAGTTCAGTTAACTCAGGGTTACATGCTAGAACAGCGCAAATATGAAGAGCAGGCCCCAAAATGTCAGGGTATTTTACCCTGATTGCCCTGACTGGCGGCCGCTTTTTTTTTAAGTACCCTGACTCAGTTAGGCTCCCAGGCTTTAAACACTGACCCAAAAAGTGATTGTTTTTTTTTACCCTTATAGATTCAAAGTTCGCGTTACCTTCCCCTGGCGTTATCAGTGTACAGTCCCACTTACCCTGATACCGAGTTTCCGGAAACGAGGATTCTGCTACACTACACATACACTGCACCTGTGACACGGTGCCACTCCCATATCTTGTTGCACTTGCCCAGTGGTGAGAAACTGCCAAACCCCAATGGTGTGTTTGGCAAGATTCGTGCCAGCGCACCCGTGGTTGCTGCCAATACACCTCATAGTCCCTGCCAACTGCGCCAGCACGGCAAAACTGCCGCGATGCACGCACTCGTCTTGCCCAGCGCTGCAGCGCCATCACGTGTCATCCTGTACCTGCTATGCTTTTCCTCGCTTCGTGAACAGCCATGCGCGGTGCTGAGGGGGTCCATCCTTCCCAAAGGGAACCCATCTTCCTCACCTCTCTCTTTCACTTTCCCGAGGTCTCAGGGAGTAGCACCATCCAGTCATGCCAGCCGAGCAAGAGCAGGAACCGCCTTGGGGCCCAAGAAACGGGCTCTCAGTTCTTGGCGTTCTTCCCAAGCTAGGTGACAACTACACCGTTCCCATCGCACAGCCGCCACGTGACGCCTCGCCCGTACGAAGCGTCGGCTATGTGTTCGCAGTCGATTGGCCCAATTCTCCTACTGCTGATGAGCCACATCCGTCGCTGGTTCTTGTTCCTGGCGGCGATGAAGGCAGCTCCAGGCCTTCTACTGCGTCCCCGTCGACTGTGAACAGCACGCCTGGCAAAAGGCCGCGGATCGGGGTGAAATACACACAGCAGAGGCTCTGGGGCGCACCGCCACCAAAGAAGGATGCATCACCAACGCGCACCGAAGCTCCTGCTGATCCCAAACCACCAACAGTCACTACTGAAGCTGAGTACGCAGCGTACAAGCACAGGTATGACACTGAGTGGGCAGGGAAGTTCGACTGGCTACGACTCCATCGTCAGACCAACGGGAGACCTTCGCTGAAATGTAAAGTGTGCATTAAGTACGGCGATCCTACCGCTCGCACCGTCTACGGCGCGAAGGGTGAGGGTGGCCGTGACTTGCAAATCGGAACCATTCGGGTTCACTCATCTACTCGAGCACATAAACAGGCGCTGGAAGCAGAGGCTCGTTCACTTGCGGCAAAGGAGAAGCAAGTGACTTTGACAAGGTGGCAGGAGACGGATTCGTCTACTCGCCACATCATCCGCTGCCTGCACATCGCGATGTTCGTCTGCAAGGCCGACGCTCCCATCGCGATGTTCGTCCCCCTGTGCTGGTTTCTCGCTAAGGAGGGTCTTCCCGACCTTCCCCCCAACGGCGGCTATGGTGCCTACTACACTGAGTAAGTTAGTTGCGCGTGGTTTGTATTGGTTCACGAGGGTTTGTTATAAACTGTA